TCCAAAAAACCTCTCACCAAACACAATGAGGACCCCGCAATCAGAATTTCACCCAACTTCCTTCATTAGGAAACAGCCTTTAAATCATGCATTTCCAACCACAAGCACACAGAATTAGTAGACAGCTTCCCTGATCTATTCTTTTAGATTTTTCTCCCTAAATTGCCAGATTACTTAGAAATGTCTTTCTGTCAAGATCTGGCATTCCAAGAGAGCATGAACCAGAAGAGTAAGCTGAGGAGCCAGGAGAATTACCAGCTGATGAGAAAGCCAAAGTACAAGAGAACAGTGCTGGTTCAGCCCCACCTTGCTATCAGGATAACCTGATTTTTTTCTTCAAGTGTTTGACAGCGCTGTTGGAGCACCAGCCTCACACTGGAACCATGGAAATGCAATGGTCCCAGTGGAAAACAAATTACTTAAATGGTAATTGTTTCATCATGCAGACAACCGGTATTATAAAGTCTGGCTCTTAGTTATTCCCAGTTCTGCTACTGTGAGTCACTTGGCCTCTACTCATGTTGGAAGAAAGGAACTAAAATCTGCCTTCTCTAAAATAAGTTGTGAAATGCTAACAATCAAGCATCATGAAACAAGGCACTAGAGCAGAGAGGTAGCAAGAGGAACACTTATTCAATCAAGGTCTGGCTCTTCCTGCTCATTTTCAGGAAATTTTGAAGCCTCAGAAGAGCATCTTGCAGAACACTGCAGAATCCTCACTATAATGTCAAATCCATGATCCACACACACTGAAACAAAAATGTTAGCTTGAAGGAGTCTTCAAATACTTGCATTTAATTAAAAAGTGACCACCTGTTCCACTTATGATTCAAAAGTTGTCAGATTGAGAATTAACAGCTTCTAAGCTGTCTTCTTGGAGACCAAATATCAAAAGGCACGGCAAGACTGAAGCCCGCATGCTATTCTACTACTCAGATCAATTTCCGAGTATTAGAGAGAGACTACGTGGTCAGATTGATAGAAAAACCCTGAACACCTTCTTAAATAAAAAGGGATATTGGGTGGAATCATTCTGAACCTAAAGCTGACACACCTTATGACCATGGGCAAGCTCCTTGACCTCCTGGAGCAGTCAGAAATGCATCTGACACAGTGTCACTGCAACACCTGCACTGCTGAGCCACATCTCATTTCCAGCCCTGCATGAGTAATCCGTGTGTGCCCCAGCTGCAGGGAGCCAGTGACATCCACGGAAAAACTGCTACAGGCTCCATTCACACTGATCAGACAAGGGGGGAGGCAACACGAACAAATGGGAATGGGCAAAAACATATTTAAATTTGAGCCCTTAAACAGTAAGTGACGAGGTATCAGTCACTCAGCTCAGCTCAGAAATGTACTACGTCAGAGAAAGCAACAGCACAGGCTAATGTTTACACCATATGCACATTTTGATTTACAATCCCTTTCATCCAGTTCTCTTTTTGCTCAAAACTGCACATTTGTGGACGTTGTGTTCTAAACTTCAAGTCGCAGACTCAGAACTGCATTATGCATTAAAAACCTGGAACAAAGATGTGACAGAAAGTACAAATTTTGTGGTGATTTGTGTTGTTCAAGTTCCCTGTAATTAATTTCTGCTGCCACAGATTCCAGTATCTGAAGTTTGGCTGCTCCTGAGTTAGAGTGATAAAGGCTGAACTCCCATTCATGTGCTGAACATTTATTTTGGTTCTGGAAAATCAAAAGTTGTTTCCTTTCCACATAAGGTCATCTCAGATCATTGACAAACACTGTACCACACTTTATCTCAGAGCTGTTTCCCAGTACTATGCCTGTCCCCCACTCCCAGTGCTGCTTCATTTTCAGTTCCCCTCACCACCCGTAATGCTCAAGGCAGAAAAGATGAATTCAAGTTTTACTAATTCTTTTTCAGAGTACAAGTTACATACTAGCAATTACGGTAATTAAATCTTTTACTTTGATCTAGTAAATGTGTTATTAAATCTGCTGCTCAGTTTCTGTCAATGGTTGCAGTTTTCTAAGCCATTCTGTCAACTGCAGATAAAAACACAGAAGCTGAGATTGACCATAGACCCAACTCTGTCAAAAAGTACAATCAACACAAGTTTGAAACGTTATAGACGAGTAACAAGTAAGTTGCTTGAAACTATTTACTTGTTTGAAAAAGTTTCCAAAGCTTTCATATCACTAGATAATTGGTGGTATTTTGGTCAGAGGGTAACCAGAGAGTTGGATCACTCAGTGTGCAGCTCCTTCACCGTGTGGTACGTAAAGACCCCCCATCTCATTAACAGATGTTTCAGTGAGATGTTGATATACAGGCAGGTCAGAGATGGCACATACATCCTCAGTGGTTCAGGGAGTTGATGTGATAATAATACACAAGAGAAAGGGAAGAAAGTGAACAGGATCCAGGCAAAGAATCCTACATTTTAAAGGTAAATATACAGCAAGGAGAAGGAGGTCAGGACAGCCAAGGCAATTATTTCTTGTTGCTCTGATTGAGTTACACCAACTTATCTCCCTAATGTTTGATGTTCAAAGCCCCTCATGATAATCCATATTTACTCTTTGTCCACTCAACCTTAACTTACCCCATTAATTCCACCCCCTCCACAGTGCCCATTTGTCAAAGGCACCAAACATCCTTCCTACCTTCTCTTTATCATCTAGAGCAGGGTAACATTTTCTGTGCGCCGTGACCACCATTCTCAACTGCTTTGTGGGTGGCTTAGGTTCTTTCCCATTTCCTCTCCCTCCACAGATCCCAGCTTATGGCACCCACTCCTGGTTTGTGCTCCAGGAGTCCCTCCAAGCAGGCAGAGATGACCAGGCTGCACCGCCACACACATCACGCATCTGGATGTGTAAGGCCACAGTCCTCCCTTCTCCCTGACTTCTCACTGCACCCCTTTACCAGCCACTGGGCTGGAGAGCAAACAGAAATAGTCAACACACTGCAATTAAAGAGTGTTTCAAAATGAGTCAGAACTGCTACCCTCATGTACTCAAGCAGAAATACCACCTGCCCAGACGCACACAGCGCCTTCCACCACCCTCTGCGGCCCTGCCCTCAGTTCCTCAGACAAAGCACCAGTGTCCCTGGTAAGCCAGAACCACAGAAAACTGCTTTTATTGGCTTTTAGCAGCCACATAACCACCCCTTTTGGAGCTTGCCTGGACAGCACCAACCTCCTCTAGACTACTAGAGGAGTCAGAAAATGACTCTTAAGAATGACTGCTGCTGGACAGGTGAGTTTCCCACACTTCCTCTGACTGCTTTGCTACTGTGTATATATATATTTATATATAGATATGTAGGGGGATGTCTGGGTTTAGCAAATACATGACAAGCAACTCACTGTTCTCCTGAGAGTTTGGTACAGACCTATTTCCACCACAGAGGCCACCTTTCCCTCCTCCAGGGCAGTGGGGAAAGCTGTGCTGCCCCAACTGCGTGGTTCCCAGCACTTGTACCAAGGAACACCAATTACAGGTGGTAACTGGGGCAGGAGAACCACACAGTCAGGAGCTCATAAGAGCACCATGCTCAGTTTCCACCTCAAGGTCAAACATTACATTTTTAATAGACTTAAGCAACACAACACGCTTTAAGAGAAACATTTTAAATGTACCATTTGTTTGCGGTTCCAAGGGAAGAGGCATTACTGTTTGTACTTAAATTTTTAGCTTGAAAAGTGGAAATAATTTAGCCCTTGCCTGTAAGTGAAGTATTATTTGGCCTGATGTTTGACAAGTACCAGAGAAGATCTAAAACCGAATAAAATCTCTGGGAGGGGGAATTAAAATAAATTTTACATTTTTAAAGAGATGCTCAAGGGTTCAAAGATTTACTTATTCGTTCACTTTTAAAAGCTAGAATTACTTGTCAGGGAAAAAAAAAAAACCAGCAGGACTGACTTCTGCCGTCTTGACACGCAAGTTTTTTTCAGCTTTTGAAGTGTTGTTACTTTGTGCTGGTTTAAAGTGTGTAAATAGTCACAGCCACGACCTTGTTTAACTAACTTATTGCAGTTATAGTTTCACCAAGGTACCTACAAACTTTAAGTAAAGTCGCCTTGTTCCACGATTAACAAAGTAAAACATAAATACACTTAGATACTACTTAACAAACGGGGGAGCAATATAACCCTAAAATAACTCAGAAAAACAACAACAAAAATCCCAAGTCTTTCCGAATGTGACCTTTGTTGTCCAATAACCTCCAGGCAAAGAAAGTTACTGGAACGAAGTACTGGAGCGGGGGAAATAGTTAAAATATTACAAGTCTGCTCAGCGCGCCTTTTTTTCGCTTTTAAAAAGGAACAAGTAGCACAGTTAAGTTTTATATTCCCCTCGGATGGCTGTATGGCTCGGAGCCACATCTGCAACCCATTAGAAGTCAGGAGCTCAAGGGGAACCCGGGCTAGATACGCAATGAGCAACTTGAGCGTCTTTCCCATACAAAACACATTTTCCCACCAGAGGAACACACCATCCAAGGTAAACAAAGACGCAAAGAAACCCCTAGAGAAGCGCACAAGTGGAGCCCCCGCACCCCTTGTTTTTCCGAGGGGTACCTTCCGACAGCTCACACGACTTCAAAAGTCGTTACAGGAAGAAAACAAAAGGGGGGGGGGGGGGGAAAAAGGGAAAAAAAAAAAAAAAAAAAAAAAACCCCGGGGACA